CCAACGTCCTTCTCGGTCACGACGGCACGGTGGTCCTCGCCGGCTTTGAGCACGTGACGCCACTCGCCAACGACGGCGCGATCGTCGACTGGCACGCGTTGGGCCTCTTGGTGTACCAGCTCTTTGTCGGCGCCGGGCCGTTCACCGACGCCACGTTTCTCACCGACGCAACGTGCCGTCAACACGGCTTGCCGCACGCCGGGCGCGACCTCTGCCTTGCGTACGTAGCCTCCTTACCATCTCTTTTGTCTCAAATCGATCGATGCGTAGCTTGTTCTCGGCGACGGAGGAGAGCACCGCGATGGACTTTATGGCGACCGACTTCTTCTTTGGCGTCGACTGGGCGACCCTCGATACGACGCCAGTGCCACACCCGAGCGACGCGCCGCAGCTCGACGACGTCCCGACCGACGCGTTTGACTTGGCGCTGCTCCAAGCCCGCGTCTTTGCCAACGATCCAGACGTATGGCCGCTGTATATTCCAGCGTACTCGTACGCCCGCGCCACCACGGTTGGCGGCAGCGACTTTGCCGTTCTTGGCAAACTGACGACGACACCGACACGCGACCAGGTGAGACTACGATCTTAGGTATATCGCGTGTGCTCACACTTGGGTAGGTGCACCTCGTGCAAAAGCTGACGGGTACCGACGCCGGCGCCTACTACGCGCTGCAGTGCACCGTCAAGGCGACAGCGCGACCGCCGGCAATCGACGTCTCGTCGTTGCGCCATGCGACCTTGGTGCCGACGCTGTACCGGTTCCAGAATCGAACGACTGCGTTTGTCGTGACGCCGGTCCTTCGCGGCCACACGCTGCGCTCGATCCAGAAGACAACTGGACTGGACGAGCGCGAAGTGGCGTGGTACTTGTCCCAGGTGTTCCTCGGCCTCGCCTACCTCCACGCCCACGGCGTCGCGCACGGGTCTCTCTCGCTTCAGAACGTCGTCGTCACGGACGACGCCACCGCCGTCTTCGCCCGCACCGACTCGTTTGTGCCGCTCACAGCATCGACGCGCCTGGCCGACTTTATCGCCTTTGGCGACCTCCTCACTCAGCTACTTGCCGACAAGGCGATCCTCTCGGACGCCGCCATCGACCTCCTCTCTGCGTACGTCCATCTTTCTATCTCTATATTCTCGTATCTGGTATGGAAGGACTCACATCGTGGGTAGCTACACCAGCGGTACGACCATCTACACCAGCGGTACGACCATCGACGTCGGGCACAGTCCCTTTTTTAGCTGGATCGCATGGGACCTCATGTGCAATGACGCATTCCATTTGGATGCGTCGCGGCCAATTGGGCGCTTTCTCAGCGCGGACAACGGCCGACCTTGCACTCTCCTCTTTGAAGACGACCCTACCCACCCACGCGTTCACTGGCCCAACTACGTGTATCCGCCACCAACGGCAACAGCGACGGCTATGTAGTAGAGACGTAATTGTATTTGTAATCGTAAATTCTCGAAATCGACATGATAGGTCCCATGACAGCCAGAAAAAGACAAAAAGGGCAGCATCGCAGGATGCCGCAGAGGGACTTGTCTGCACACACGACTTAGGCAATCAAGTCGTTTGAGTAGGTGTAAAGGTTCCGAGTGCAACCGGGTATTGACGAGGCGCGTGCCAAGGGACGTGGCGGAGCCCAGATCAGCTCACGCGTGTGAGCAGCCGCAACACCCAAATCTGGTCGCTGGGCGTGCCACGTATGACAGTTACGCCGTATCCATGACGTGGCGTCACCCGCGTGCAGCATCGTTTCGGAATCCAGGGATCCCTCTTCGTCGTTCTTTTGCTTCAAAAATAAAAACTCCTCGCACAAGACTTATTGCTGTAAAAACGCAATGTACTGAATACCGATAAATGGATTCGAAGGCAACAACACACATCTTGGTACGCCAGCGAGAGGCAGTACTCCTTATACTCCTTATTAATGTCAAAGTCCAACTCCGCCAGCACCTGTACGAGAGCTAAATTAGGTCTTGAATGCATCTATGTGTGTGCTGGAAAAACGCTACCCAAATGAACTCTGCAGCTTTCAATCCCTTCATGGACGGGTTGCAACTGTCTCATAAACATTGAACTATTATCCCGCGAGTCGAGCGTTGATGTCATTTGTGGACACTCCCACTCTAGTTGGCTCAGTCCCGTCCCGACAACATGCAACACCACGAGATTTGGTCCCCACTAAATTATCGACGCCGAGCCCCATGCGGCGCCTTTGGCCGTCGCCTTTTAAAGCTGCACGCGATCGATGTGCTCGGTACCATCGAGTACGCAAGCTTTTAGGGATCTAGTCGCCCTGATGCGAAAGCCATGCCGAACCCAGGTGAGCGCGTGCAAGGATGACCCTTGGCTCCAAGCCCCACCAGGTCTGATTCCGAGGTCTGCTCGACCGACGCAGAGCCGTCGTATGATGCTGTTGTCACCAAACGGCGATCCCATTCCTCCTTCGTCTCACCATTCGTTCAGTTTGATACCGCAAGTTTGGATTGTGGACCAGAAAAATAGGAAAAAATGAAAAATATAAAGAGGTGTGGATCAGTTCGTTTTCGGTTAGGTGTTGTAACAAGGTAGATATCCCACCGTCTCAGCAACAACTGTTTGAAATGTCATCATTTGGGAAAGAACTTCTTTTGGAAGAATTTTCCCACACCTACTTTACCAATGCCACAGCATGGACTGTAGCTGCATTTCAAAAATGGGGATGCATGTTCCCCACGTACGAATTAGCCAATAGCGTCATATGGTTGTCACTTTGACTCGGAAACTTGATGTGACGTACAATATAAGGTTCTATAGGTTTATCAACAGCTACCAGCCTTGAGAGAATGGACGAACTAGCCTCATTGCGCTTCATCGCATCGTGTTACCTACAACGATATGGTCACTGGTGCTTGTTGTCGATACACGTAGATGCATCAAAGACACAGAAAACAACGGAGCATTCATCGGGTAAAGCTTAAATGCGGCATGTGCCACATTGTTGCGCCCGCCTATCCTTCAACAGGCGCGTCCGGACGCCAAGGCATACCTCCACCACTAGGCGTAGAGTCGTCTCCCAACACAGCGTATCGCGGTGCAAAGCCTTCGTACAGACGCGCGATTACCATTACCAAGTGGACAATGATTCAGGTATCAACTCGAACATGTTGAATACGCGGGCAAGACGTCGTTCTATTCGCGGCATGTGCCACATATAGGAAAACCAAAGCGTATCCAACGTTACCATCTTGCATCTTGCAACCGGTCGAGCATGACGCCGGACTCGAAGCGGGCCAAGGCCGCGCCGCCTTCCGTACTGGTACCCGAGGCGCTCAACATCATCGCGCGCTTCGTGCAGGACCAGCGCACGCTCGACGCCTTCCTCGCCGCAACGCCCACGCCCATGCTGTCGCCGGCGCTCGTCGCCTTGCAGGCCCTCATCACGACGCCCGATGCGTCTCTACTTGTGGACTGGCCGACGATCGTGCTGCGCCGTGCGCCAGCGCTGGCGTCCACGTCGGCGAATCTGTCTGCGCTCTCACCGCTACAGCCGTCGCTCTCGGCGGTGGCAGTCGCGGGCACCGATCTCGTCTACCTCGGGCCGCTCGTGGCCATGATCACTGCAATGACAGTCGTGTTTCGCCCTGCCCAGACGATTGATCATGCATGGACGCACTGGGTACGCGACTTTGGCCGGCGCTGCCCGCGCCTTCGCGAGCTGCACGTCCTCGCCGCGGTCCATGCCGCCCAGGTGCAACCGCTTCTGGATCTTCTCACCCATCCTTCGCTGCGGTTCTTGACGCTGCAGAGAGTATCGCTGGAGGGAGCGCGCATGGAGAAGCTTCTCGCGTGGCTTGAGCGGG